AGCAGTCCTGGTATTTGTGCTCGCTGTTGTAATTTGGCTTTGTGTGTACTTTTACATGCCAATTTTGCCTATTAGCATTTTGGCCAGCCTCTACTGCCTGGAAGCTAATGGGCATGTCTCCACAGACGGGTGCAAGCAGGCCTCAATTTTTCCATGGGGGAAAATACTATTTAATAGTAGCTTTTAAAATCATGCAATAACTTACACCTGGTTTGACAGAAGGAGAGACAATGCTATCATTATTTAGGACAGAAGCTGAAAATTATCTTTTGACGGACAAGTGCAAAAGAACACTGAAAAAGGCTAAAGCTCCGCTGCCAAACTGGGAGCTGGCTGGCTGAAGGCCAGCTCTGGTACAAAAGCTGTATGGCTTCATTAGGGAAGTGTCGCGCCCAAATGAACAAGTCCCGCTGAGCAGCAGGGCAGAGTGCCATTCCAGTGTGGCTGAAGAGCTTCCAGGACAGAGCTGGCTGGTATCCCTTCTGGCCAGTTGTGAGTGTGGGGTTTGGTCACTATACACCTGTCCATTGGGTGTTTCTACCCAAAAACACCCTGAAATTACTGTTTTAACAAAAGAAATAGTCACACTTCCCCTTTCCCCACAATTTCAGGTTTCACTTGAGTGATGCTAAAATGAAGGCTGAGAGAAATTCATCCTTCTGTGTATTCTCATTGTGAATAAGTCAGGAATTTGTTGTGATTCCCTTCATAGCAGGTACATAAAAGTAGTTCTGCAGAGCTTGTATGATTTTGATGGCAAACTAAGCCATTCAATTTCTGATAAGATGTATTTTACGTAAGCTTCAAGTAAATCATATTGTTCAAACATCTTAAAGCAAATGTGATTTGGAAAGTTGCAAAGTTTCAGGATGAAGCTGGGAGAAAAATAACGCAGTGATATTTCCTTAGTACTAGCTGTGCAGGAGGGAAAAACTGCTGGTTTTAAGAGCTAGAAACACCTGGTGTTAAATTGAATCTTGATCTCTTAGAGCTGGTTCTGTAGCACATGTTAAAAGCGTAGCAAGTTATACAGCCATTTCTTCGGTTACACATCCTTTTCTGTAGAGAAAAATATTCCACAAAACAGCTATTATGTATTCATTGGAACCTATATTGCCAGCATTTCTTAGTGAACATCTTTGGTTGAAATAAGAAAAATAACAACTGCTTCTGAAGTAAAGAGCTATGAATTCTCTCCACCTAAAGAAATCACAAAATGATAGAAAACTGATCCAGAATTCATCTCAAGAGGCTGTTTGGTTTGGTTCTTTGCCTCAGACCATCTAAGACTTTATTTGCATATGTTAGTTTTACCTCTTCTGTACAACTTTTAGTGATGGAGATTCTATCACTGCTTAAGACACTCAAGCTATCCCTGCCATTAGAAAAATGAGATACTTTGGGGTGGGTATTTTTTGCCATCACCTTCTCTCATACTTTCATGTCCAATCTTAATTTTCCCTAGTTCAAATCAGCCTCCTCTTTCTTATCCCATCCACAATGGTGAGGGAGAACAACATTCCCTTCTTTGGAATTCCCTTCAACATGATTTAAGCCTAATATTGTTGCTTTGTTCCTGGAGAAATCTTCCAGTTTTTCAGTTTTTCCTTCTAGATCAGGTTTTTCCAGCCTCTGATTGATCTGACTGTCTGAAATCAATTCTTCTTTCTTGAAATACAGTGGTCAAAACTGGACATAAAATTCCAGCTGAGCAGAGTGGAAGGGTGCTCAACCCTGTTGTGTACATGGTAACTCTATAAATCCTCTATTACATTTTCCCTTTTTTATAAGAGAGTCCTCTGCCAGTTAATGCCAGCTTCAAATTCAGTAGAGGATACCTTGATGCTGTTATCAAAGTTACTGCTCAGTATTTTACATTGAGTAGACCAGACCTATGTGGAATATCCCTTACTTCAACCTTCCAATTTGAAAGTGATCCCTGGGTAAGCAGAGTATAGTTTTCCAAATAGAATTTTTACCTGCCGTGTTTTTCTTGTTTTGCCCTTTGGGAATTTTATGCCAGATGAAGTCGGAAGTCGTGCTGCAGTTGAGGAGCGTGACATCTGCTGAGTCTCAGCTGGGCTACAAAAATACTACTACTGCGAGTTAACGTACCTGTAAAGTGTATCCCATTTCATATTAATGAGGTGCTTTGAATTTGTAAATACTTCTAATAGCAGAGACTGTGAAGTCTCCACACATGTCCTATGCTCACTGTCATGTTTGCATATGAAGATTTACAAAAGGAGCTGTACCAGTCCTTTCTTTCTCCCATGCTATGCTTAATGGTGGGACAGAACCTGAGAAGGATACTGTTAATGTTAGAGGGTTTGGCTGATTTCTTCAAAGGCTCTGTTTTCTTTCTCAGCTCTTCTGATTTTTTTATGCTTACAGCCTCTCTGACTTGTCTAAGTGGAAGATTTTTGTCATCACCCATGATGGACTGGAAATATGAAGGCATTAAGCTCCTCTACAGTTTTAGGTGTGGACTTACCCCATTGAAATAGACACAGAAGGGGGTTTCTCTGTAGGATGTCTTCCAGCTGAGTCAGGCTAGAATATGAAATTAAGGGTTTTTTCCAGTAATTTTTAACAGGCAGAAAATCTATTCCCTGGCATCCCGTATGGCTGCAGTTGGGCGTCAGAGTAGAAGCTGGGAATGTTGATCTCCCGATAGGTGAGTTATTCACCTGGCCCCAATGTGTGTGTGTGCCCAAGGTAGTAGGTTTACACTTGGCACCATTTTTCAGACTGGGAGAGGTACCCTTCCTGCCAAGTTGTTACGAACAGAAAGTGAGGCATGAGACACCACATATTCTCCTGAAGTGTGAAAAGTTCTAAGCCTAACAAAGTGTGATGTGGGCTGAAAACTGTGGAGAGTTCTGTGATGTGGTAGTTTCAGGAATAAGGTGCGTGGCTCTACTTATTGACATGTATCAAATGTTAGAGTGCAGTTTACATAAGAAAATTTAAATCTGATAGTGGTGTTGCTACAGAGTTGTTTTCTGTTTTTTACTCGTGCTTGCCTTGAATGAATCCAGTCCATTTATCTTAAATTTTATCTAAACCTTTAAAACATGCTGGCACTTAAAATGTATAATTAAAACTTTCCATGTGTGCTTTTTTTTTTTTAAATGATACTGAAATGTCTGTACCTCTCCCTTTTTTCCAAACACTAAGCAGTCTCCTTTTCAGTTGTGTTTAAGTTGCTTTGCATTTATCATGCCTGTGGAAGGTACTCAGCAGTCTAATCCAGAAATTTGAACTAAGCTGTGGTAGAATAAAAGCTGTAAATCACCAGTCCCCATGTCATTCTCTCTGTATACATCAATGCTGGGTAATACATTTTATGGCATTAATGCTTCCAGTGCTTCTCAATTTTCTGTTTGTTGCCTTGCTTAACATATAATAGCTTGGAAGGTGGATGGATTATGAGCTTCCAAAGTATTACAAAGTACCTTTCCAAACTCCTGGAGAATTTTTGAGAGGGGGTAATATTTTTCATTTTTTCGGTTAACTTTTTCATTTCCAAGAAAATCAGTTTAGCCTACGAATTTATTGGTCAAGTGGAGTGACCTTGATGGAATTTGTTGGTGAACTTTGAAATAATTTGAACATGATGTTTGTATAATTGCAAAAGCTTCAGAACATGATTTTCTCCTATTAATGGAAGACTTTGAATGCTTTTCTGCTCATAGCTGGGAAAAACAGAAAGATGACTCAGATTCATGTAGGTTTTACCAGGAGTCTGTCTGTTCTGTATCTAATGAATGCTGCTAAAAAGTCTGCTGCCTGTGGAAAATGAAATGTTAATGAGATGATGGAGTGCTGGCACCTGAAAAAATAACTGGTTTGGAAACTGGGCAGGGGAAGATGTATTGAGGTAGGAGTCGTGGGACTGCAGTCTGGGTACTCGGTTGCTCTGAGCTGGTAAATGTCTGTGGGTTCCACCAATGGTTTTGATGTTGGTCTCCCCACTGAAACACTGGAAACAACATTGATTGTAAGGCAAATTGAAATTGTTATGTGGATGTGCCAACTGAATTTTAAGTCTATTCTGTTGTAAGTTAAACATGCAATTTGTCTGGTCTTAACTTTACTGACATCGGCACTTGGTCAAGTTGTTCACTTGTGTAGATAGAATAAGCAAGGGTAAAATCAAAAGGCATTATTGACTGTGATAATAACTATTAGCTGATAAGATGAAACTATGAAGCTATCTCAACAACAACAAAAAAATCAGAAATAAGCAGTGTTATCCAATGGGGTTTTGTGACAGCTTTCCAATGTTTTCCTATGGTAGTGCAGAAATAGGATTGAAATCTGTTGAAAACTTTTTCTATTAAGAGATATATTGTTGATTCTTTCTTTATTTGCAGATCCGCTTTCTCTTACATCCTTTGATCAATTTTCCTCCTAATAACAGTCTATGCTTGATGAATTAATTATATTTTTCCCTATTTTTAAAGTTTTTTAGTAGTTTTACTGTAAAGACCTCTTTCCCCTATTTCATTCTTTTAGGTTTGTTTTTTTGTTGTTGTTGTTGTGTGGTTGAGCATTTTTTTATTCTCTTTTCTCCAAACATGGATTTGTATCTGTGTAAATCAGTGTTCCTTTTTTTAACATGATTTCTTTTACACTCTTCCACTTACTCCTTTGGAATGAGGACAGAAGCATAAGTTTTGTTCATCTCTGCTTTCCAAATGTGTATTTTAATTTGAGTAATTTTGCAGAAAGATTTTTGCATGTGTTTTTGGGAAACAGGGATGGAGGGGAGATTGGGACTTAACAGCGTTAGGCAAAGCTCAAGCAGGGATTGTTGTGACTTGTGCACTGGTAATTATTTCTGAACTTTCTGAACTGCTTCAAAACATGATCACATTACTGTGTGCGTCATCGTGAGAGACAGAGAAATTTGTTTTTTCTAAATTCTTACATCTCCTCAGAAAATTGTTTTGGTATTACGTAATTGCCATTGTTCTCTTGCATGTTTTTTATAGCATCCTCCTGGGCAGTTGAGAAGGAAGTACAGTTCCTGCTCCACTATTTTCCTGGATGACAGCACAGTCAGTCAACCAAACCTCAAGTATACCATCAAATGGTGGGTTTTATAAATTTTTTTTGCTAGAACCTGCGTTATGTATATGCATATATGCACACATAGTTCTGAGTCATTACTAAACAAGCTTCACAGGTCTTAGTTTTTGAAGCAGTAATTTTTTCTAATGCAGTCATGCTCCAGAGGCAGTGAATAGGATGAGCAAAGGGCATTACTCTGATTTTAGAATTAAACTCCTAATATTGCATATCTTACCAGAAAGCAGCAATTAAGGATCTCACATTCTAGCAGCTGAAATTCTTGGATACTTGCTTTGGATGAGTTCTCAAAACTTGCTTGAATACTTGTTTATCCAGAATTTAGGAATCACCAGAAATCTCTTGAAATTGAAGAGCTCTTTTCTGTTCATGAGCAAATGCTCATTTGTTAAGTTTTCTTTCCAGTTTTCTCTTTGAAATGGAAATTAATTGCCTCCAGATTCTTTTCCTCACTGAGTTCAAGGGCACTGGCCGTTTATTGCACAGCAGTGGGGAACTTTGTATGTGGTGTGTGCATGGGCTTACCCTTGGGTGACATCTCAGATGTTCATTTCAGGTTTCACTGATGCCTTTTTACATTTGGAGAGAAATTAAATTTATATTTATAGGGTATTCTTTTTTACATTTTGCACAGAGGTAAAATGAGACAACAAATGCCTGGGCATTTTGTGCTCTTTGTTTATTATGATTGCTGGTATCTCGGGTTGTTTGTAGGATGGTTACTTTGGTGTAATCAAATGCAAAAGTTTAATAACACAAACTCTGGCTACAAAGACTGAGAAATACATGAGAGACAATTACATTCAAACTAACACATTCAAAGGAGTTTGTACTGTTGGTGGTCACTAAAACACATTCTTAATTTTTCTGTTTAAGATGAAAAAAAGGGAAAGTAGAGAAGGGTTTTTAGTCAGACTGACACCTAATTCCTCGTCATCTGTTTCTGCCTGAAATATAGTCTCGCTTTTTCTCAAGTTCCTTAATTAGTAACTTTAAAATCAGATGAACACTGGGAAAATGTTTTTAGTTTTTGAGGTGTGTTTTTTCCTCCTGGATTTTTTTTAAGTGCAGCCTTTGGGCGGGAGGGGTTTGGTCCCTTTTAGCATTTTCAGCCACCGTGGTGGCCAGCAGCAGCCATCGGGGGGAAGGGAAGGGTACAAGGTGGTGGGATTTGGGAGGGACTGGGGGTGCGTGGGGGGGGGCAG